CACACAAAGGATTAAGTCACGTAGATTGTAAAGCTTGAAGCGCACTGGAGATAGAATGCTAGGTGAAAAGAAATTTTGCATAAAATATCTAAATCGATATTTATACTATTACCTGTGCCATGTATTTAATTCAATATGTACAAGCTATAATATAAATATAGTATTAAATATTTTAATGACCAAGAAAAATATTTGTTGCTAGCTGGACTCTTAAACAACTTTTAGTATAGTGACAGCCATATCGATTATAAGAACGTTAAAATTTCTAAAATTGGGCTTTTTCTATATGCATTTGAAGCCTCACCACATCCTACCACCTCTTTTCTATTTCTCTCTCACCATCCCCATTTTATCTCAAGTAATTGATGTTCCTAGTGTTACTAGCATATAGACGAACATACATAGAAATGGGTTACTGCTTACCATGAGGTAAGCTGCTATTACTGTGTAAAAAAGTTATAATGCACAAAAAAATATTTCCAGCAGCTTTCCCTAGCTTTACTCGGGTATAACCAGAGATGCCTAACAGTAGCTCATGTGCTAATCCAGATCATAGTATATATATCAGTGTACTTCATCATCCAAACCCATCCACCTTTTAAACATGCCACTCGTACAAACTTTCGCATATATAACACGAGTTCGGTTGAATTACTTTAATAAAAAAATCGAATTTGATATCTACTTCCACGCGTTTCTGAAAAAAAAGGGACAGACAGACAGACGGACAGACAAGCGGAAGGACAACGAAGTGATCCTATAAGGGTTCTTTTTTTGCTTTTAAGGTACGGAAACCTAAAAAAAATATACGTATTCGCATTACACATTAGTATGTACGAATCTTAAGGCTAGTAATATCAAACACGCGGCACATTTGTGTCGCCCGATGCAGTTATTTACATATATTTGCATCCGACTGAGCGTCAGTTGTCATCCGGCGCTACACTGTCATATAATTCTTGGTGCATGCATAATGCACATTGGGCTTAGGAGTTGATGTACACGTGGTATTATATCTTGGAATATGATCTATATAGAACTTAAAACCAAAAGAATAATGTATACATGTTTTGTTATGTATAACGCTCAGTTATATAATTAAACTAGCATTGCCCCCGATCAGATGACCAAAAACCAAATTCTAAGGTCTTACATTTTAGTATACTGAATACTCTTACCACGGTAATATTATATATACATTACCGTGCTCTTACATTGCAGTTTTTGTATTTTTTCTCAAAAATGAGATATTTTCCCGCGATAAAAAGTATCCTATATGTTGACCCGGATAATCCGCTATCACTATACCAAATTTCATCAAAATCCCTCGAGTGGTTTTTCTGTGATGCGGTAATAGACAGACAAAAATTCTAAAAACTATAGATTCGGCCTCTGTATCGATAATAATGTTTATTTCAATAAGATTTTCCGAAAAATATCTAATGTACAGATTTGGCTTAGTTACAATTTTATTATATATATAGACTAGTATTGCCCGCGGCTCCGCCCGCGTTCAGATGGCCGAAGACCAAATTCTTAGGTTTTACATATTAGTATATACTTAATTACAGTTTTTGTATTTTTTCTCAGAAATGGGATATTTTTCCGCGGTAAAAACTATCCTATATGTTGACCCGGATAATCAGCTATGACCATACCAAATTTCATTAAAATCCGTCCAGTAGTTTTTCTGTGATGCGGTAACAGACAGACAAAAATTCTTAAAACTATAGATTCGGCCTCTGTATCGATAATAATGTTTATTTCAATAATATTTTCCGAAAAATACCTATTGTACAGATACAGCTTAGATACAATTTTATTATATGTATAGATTGTTTAATTATTACGTTGTTTTATATTTTGAAGCATTTTTAGGCATATTATGTCGTGATTAGGTATTGTTTCTATCATGACTTTTTACTGTTCCGTACTTGAAAAGGAAAAAAGGAAACCTTATAAAAAACACTTCGTTGTCGATCTGTCTGTCTGTTAAGACCATTTTTCTTAGGAATGCGTGGAGGTAGCAAGTTAAAATTAATACCAAATATTGAAAAGCCAAATACCAAATTTTCTAAAAGTCAACTCAATCAAAAAATACGGCCCTCACAAACCGCATATTTTGAGACTCTCAAGGGAATCAAAACCTATAAGCACTGGCACTGCTCGTGCCTAGATTTTAGAATCATGAAATTTGGCAAGAATCAATATCTTATAGCTTAAGTAAAGGGAAAAACTCTAATCATGCAACGGAACCCTCGGTTTTTTTACACAATATTTTTATATCTTATATAAAGTTAAAATATACTTTCAAATTTATCATCTTGGCTTAATAAACTAGTCACGTTCCATATCGTGCATCGAGTAAAATAATAAAAAATATTTCAATAAAACTATAATTTTTAAATATTTTATGATACTTTGGTGCCATTTTAATTTTTTATTTTTTTGAATTGATTTTGTTATTTTGTGGTAAGCTGTCTGTAACAGCTATATAATGCCTTTGAGCTATCTTAAACATTAGTCTCTCGCATGACCATGATTGCTGTAAAGCATTCGAAACGTAAGCAAAAATCAAAATACATGTATATCCCAGAAAAATCCTTTAAAAAAAAGTTTTATTTAAAATGTCAAATATTCGCGTAAATCTTAGAAAATATTACTTATATAAAAATATTTCATTAGATTTATAGGTAATAATTGTATAAGCTCCTATTGCCTTTCCACGGGTATCATTTGATGTGGTACCGGAATATAAAGTGACCCTCAGGCCCATATCTCTATGCAAAAAACCTATCGATCCTATTCGTTTGAAGGGCACCCTTTTGAAAGGGTAAAGTAATACTCTTACATACAATTTATTGTAAATATTTAAAATATTATATTAGAAATACAATATAATATGTATTACAAAATACTAAAAATTGTGACGCACTTGTAAAGTATATTATTACGTCTTCAAGGAGATGAAAATTTCTTTAAGCTCACATGTATCGTATACCTATCGTATCACATAACATAAGGCATTGAAATATTATTATAAAAATAAGTGAATGAATATATTTTATAATCCATACTAATATTATAAACGTGAAAGTGTGTTTGTTTGTTTGTTTGTTTGTTTGTTTGTTTGTTTGTTTGTTTTTTGTTTGTTTGTTTGTTTGTTTGTTTGTTTGTTTGTCCGTCTTTCACGTCAAAACGGAGTGACAGATTGATGTGATGTGGAATGTGTGGAAATAGAGGGCTGGAGAGTGACATAGGCTTCTTTTTACTGCGGGAAAATATCTCATCTTTGAGAAATCTATACTAAACGTTAAAACGGAAGTAGGGACGAACCCGAGCAAAACGAGGCTGAGTCGCTAGTTTTATATAAAAGTATACACAGACGATTAAGTAATTAACACTATTCCTATTAACTAATGATATTGTAAACAGCTTTAATTAGTTCCATCAACAATCACTAGGGACACAGACGACGGACCCACAGTATTTTTGCTTATCTCTATTTAGTCGTTCAACGCTAAAGAATAATACTGATCTAACAGGATTAGTATTATTCTTTAGCGTTGAACTAAATAGAGATAGGCAAAAATACTGTGGGTCTGTCGAGCTGTGGATTTGATTTTTACTATCCTAAACAACTTCAATGCCGTAATCTATACTTTATATTATAAAGAGGTAAAGTTTGTAAGTTTGTGAATTGTGAGTTTGTGACGTTGTAGGGGGTAATCTCTAGACTTACTAAATCGATTTAGATGAAATTTGGTAAGAAGATAGTTTGAGACCCTGGAAAGGACATAGGATACTTGTTATCCCGGAAATCATCCCTTAAGAGGATGTAAATGGAGATGAAAGTTTGTATGGGGAATCAATGTTATATAAATCTGTTATTCAGAGTCTCGTTTAAATGGTTTAGTTCAACCTTTTGGATATAACCGTGTACAAACAGATGAAGAGATGGACAAAAAAGTCATTATATCATCATGTCGCTTTTTACCGAATTCAAAGAATAATTATGTAATGTACATTCGTGAATTTTTATAAACCGGTTTCATTTCAATTCTACCACTACGGGTGAAATATTTAGTTGCAAAAGTTAAAAAAATTTAGTTAAAAAAGTTAGTGTATGTTTTTAATTAATTAAACATTGATATAACAGACATACAGTACACATAATATGAATCCGAAAATAGAAGGATGAGGAAGATAGAAATAGAGAAATGGCAAATTTTTCCAAAGACAATGCTTCGTGAGTCGCCTTTAAGCTGCGATTATTATTATCAAAATATTTGAGTGACTCTACGTGGAGCGTTACATATAACTGATATAATTTCTATTTGATACAGTTATTCTAAAGATAGATTAAATAAAATTAAATTTGGTTTGAATAAAACAAATAGCGAAATTTTAACTCTAGTTTCTTGTCTAAACTAGCTAAGTACATATATACATACATACTAAGAAAATATATGAATATTTTTAAGTTAATATTAAGAGGTTAGGCTCTTTATTTTAATTTTAAATGTCAATATTCGATACTCGTACGTTTTGGAACTCGTTTACGATAAACAAGGTTAGGTTTCAATTCATCTTTAATAACTTGTTATTTAGTATTTAGTAACTTATAAAATATGTTTTAAACAAACCTAAATTAAAGTTGGTAAGTAAACTAAATTATAGTAAAAAAATAATTAAACGAAAATTTTCATTACTATAATTCCCCCACTTCCCGTACTCCATAGCAATATGAATGACGAAAAAGCTCTTGTAAAAGTTTACGCGTGCGTAATGGAACCCACGACGAAGCTCATATTCTAACCTTAACCTTAAAAAAAACGTTATTTTACGTTACGATTATAACACTTATCGTATTCAATCATATTACAGTCATGAATGTAATAAAATTCGCATATTTTATGACATTTTAAATAGCTATGACGTGTTAAATAACAAATGGCTATTTAACTAAAATTTTATATTAAAATATATATAAATCTTACCTGTATTTTATATCTGGTGCTTCGAATACATACACTGAGCCGTACATTCCCGCCAAATATATAGGGAATAAAAGAAAAGCATAGTTCACAATATTATATCTTCCAAACGGTCCCAATTCAGCCAAAATGGCGTCCAGACCTATATCCTGTTTCATTTTCACAACCCTTTAATGTACACAGATAAATTTATTACAACATATTTAATAAAAATTAAAAAAATATATCACTACACGTGTAACCCTGACGTGTTTCTGGTTGACGTTATTCACGCATGCGCACTATTATTATTTATTTTTTTCTATTTTCATTTCATTTTGATACGAAATATTGTTAACTTTTTAAAAACTTGCACTCTCAGCCAGAGTTTAAATACATATGCGGGCATCGTCACAAATATAGACAAGAAAGTCCCGCTAAAAATTTACTAGAAAGAGATAGACGATGTTATATTTAGTCCGGTCTTATGTGTGAGCGAAATGAATATATTTTATCAATTCCCGTTTGTAGAGTATTTTTATAAGGGGTAACCGTATTTGTAGTTTATTGATATTGTTTATCAATTTTGTTGTTTGATTCAAAGGTTCATGGTACCAATCTGTTTATTTTTATCGTATCGTAATAGTATAAAGTTTTAAGAAAAATTGGCCAAGTGTGGGTCTGATTCGCACACTGAGGGTTCCGTAGCATAAAACATCAAAATTTTATGTTTTCGCATACGTCAATTGTTAAATTAAAAGAAAAGTAAAATACCTATAGTAACACTAGTTTCTATGAATACTATATTAAGGCGATGCATCTTAAAGTAGGCAAATTAATGATAGATTATATTATGTGGGTCTTCGAACTTCCTTACTTTCCGCCCTATATGACGGTCGTTTCTTAAAAAAAACCCCTTTCCTGAACCCCTTTTCTTTTCTGGGGTCATCCTTATAGTTAAATATAAATATAAATACATTAATACCATAGTGAGGGTATTGAACTCACGATGACCAATATGTGCAATCAGTGAGTCTGCATGTCACTGAGGAAGGAAGAAAGTATTAGATATTAAATATAAATACTTTATGTATATAAAAATTAAACGTTTATTTTAAATCTGCGTATCTTTGTTTAATATGATTATTTTCATGGTACCAACGCATTGTTTTGATTTATTTGAAAAAAATATTAAATTAAACTACGAAAAGATTACACCGATTTTGAAAGAAATTTTGCTTGCGGACAGAGGTTGAGATTTTTTATCTTTCGAAAAATATCTTTTCATATTATGAAAGAAGGTTTCTTGTAGAATAAACATGACATAACCAGTTTTAACAGGGTATTCTCTAGCGAGTACAAGATTTGGGAAAGATTGACAGAAGTTATTTTTGAAGGAAAATTAGTTGAATTTTTTTTTTATTATACGTATGTATATTATATATAAATAAATATATTATCATGCGAGCAAACTTGCATCTTTTAAAATCTCTTATTTTATCTTTATTATTTAACCCATAAATATGTATAAATATTTATAGACATAGAGTCAAGGCGATGCAAAAATTTAGCTCTACAGTGCATTTATATAAGGAACTAGTAGTTAGCGGGTAATCTTCCAATTTAACAAGACAGATTATACTTAAACGTTAAATTAAATCTGTAACTTGTACTCTACACTGGCATTTGTTTGTCTGTTACTTTATTTATACTTGCGACTACGTGGGGCATTAGTAAATGAGAAGGTGTTGGTTCGATTTCCACCTAAATATATGCATTAGGCTCGTAGGGGTACATAGCTGAGGGTCTTGGCTTTCGAGTCTCGGGCCTGGCAAAGTTTAATTATTAAGTTTTCGTACCAAGAAATCTCAACACAAGCCCAGATTTGGAAATCTGTGAATGTTACACTCCCGTGCCTCTGAGAGCACTTAAACCAGTCAATACTCATCTCTCACAGGTCGAGTTGAATTGTTTCCCCGCTGGAGTATGGCAGGAATAGAGAATACACATTGTGTTTGCGCACACTTGTGCACTATCTCTTGCGCAGACGGCTAATCTCAGTAAGATTGGTCGTCGTGGCCGACATAGGGCAGAATAACAAGTACTAGATTGCAGTCATTGTGACTTAATTACTTTAGAAATATTGTAGGTTTTTGCCAAATTCCTTTCAAATTTTAGTGTATTACGTTGCTGTTAATAACAAATTACTATTTACAGATATAACACAATGTCATCTATATCAATACTCAGATAAATTCATTATGTTATGAGATACATACGAGTATCTTATATTTGCTGAAGAATTAATTATATTATATTATTGTGTAACAAAGGAAACCACCCATTTTACTGTATTTAAAGAATTAAATTTCACCTAAAATAACATAGTTATATTACATTGCTACGAATTTGAAAACTAGTTGAAATAATTTGAACAAGAATAAATATATGATAATAATACTAGCTAGCCCTTGCTTGCTTCCCAATACAAACTTTTATCCCTATTTTAACCCCTTTAAGGGATGGTTTCCGGGATAAGAAGTATCCTATATCCTTTCCAGGGTCTCAAACTATCTTCGTATCAAATTTCATTTAAATTGGTTTAGTCGATCCAGAGCTTACCCCCTACAACGTCACAAACTCACAAACCCACAAACTTTACCTCTTTATAATATTAGTATAGATTGAACAAGAAAAGTTATCAAGCTATATAAATTAAATAAATTGCTGCAAAAGATCATCACAGAAGTACTGTAGGACTGTAGAAGATTTTTTGGAACGAAGTTCCTTATAGACCGAAAAAAGTGTAATAAGACTTTTTTCCGACACTTTGCCAAGACTCGATAGCTCTTCGGCTTTCTTCGGCTATACTCGGATAGTCCCCTAGCTTCTCACAACACTTAGAGCGGCTGTAAGTGTATGTATAGTTGTACTCGACTAGGCAGTCTTCCGCCGCACAGCGCGCCATTGCACTGTCTGTGAAAGTGGCAGTTAACGTGTCGACACTCACATCTTATTCATATTTTCATTTTCATATTTTTCTTATAACAAACCAATTATTACTGTGATTGAAAATAATGATTAAATCTATTTTAACTTTTATTTATATTTTTATAGTAAATAAATAATTTTTATTTCTTAATCCAAGATAATTCAGTGGTTAATTTATCAATATTTATATTATACATAATAAATTGATATATTTTATTGTAAATTTTTAATTGAACTCTATCAACTTGATATTTTATAATATAAATTATAATGACTGTATAGCAACGGTCTACCAAAAAGCAAAAGGAAGCTTGGAGGGCAATTATTATTATATATTATTATTATAGTATTTGAATAGAAAATAACATTTTATCTTGTTTTTTATTTAATTCTATATAAATGTTTGTAAAATTTGACCCTTACAATGTGGAATAAAAAATTTAAAAAACTTGCACTAAAGCGATACTTAATAGTATAAAGACGAAAGATTTCCTTTTTTGTTTGTTTGTTTTTTCGTACCGAATAGGCTCTGAAACTATCAAATTGATTTAGAGGTAAGAAGGTAGTTTGAGATCCTGGAAAGGACATAGGATAGTTTTTATCCTGGAAATCATCCCTTGAAAATGGGGATGAAATTTTGAATGGGGAATCAATATAGGGACGAACCCGAGCTAAGCGAGGGTAAGTCACTAGTCAGAAATAAACTATTAAAGCACCTTTCCGTCGATCTTAAACGCTTAAATATTTTTTTCTAAAGAAGAAAATATTAAATTCACAGCATGATCTACATAGATGAATATGAAAAATGTATGAACGGAATTCGCCTCAAAAATGCAATATTCGGATGTAACCGAAAATTCGCCCATGACGGAAAAAGGTCAACTCCTTTTTATACTAAAACAAAAATGTGTATGTACGAGTAGCTTTTGCTATTTTAAGTTACTGAGCTTTATAGATATGTAACATATTTCATATTATTTTAACGTCGATTGGAATATTTTGTCAAATTTGGTTATATAAAAATAAACTTATACAAAATCTTATAATATTGCAAAATGAGCAATTCTTGTATAGGTATATTACATATATGTCGACTCGATTTTATTCAACAAAAAATCATTAAATTGGCTTTCCTGTAAAGTTAAGAAAATGTCGCTTAAACCAAATAGCCTTTCACCCGTCGATGTATAAAACAAGCGGCACACCCTCGCTCCGCTCGGGTTCATACATAGATACCTTTTAACAGTTGTACTCGTATGTAGGTATGAGGAGTTATTGTGGGTATAACGTGTTTTCCGCACTCTCCAGCCCTCCAACTGTCTTCACACAATAACATAAGTCTGTTTCGATTTATTGTTTCTAGTCTTCTATATAAATATCGAACAGTATGTAAATAGGTATAAGGAATTTTTTTCTATGCAAGTTTGCCATTACTTGGCCAACATTAATACAACTTACTAACCAAAGATCCTAGGTCTGTTAATCAAGCTGGAAAGTGACTATACTACCTTTTCCACTACACTAAACTAAAGTGTAAAACACTGTCTCGGTGGTGTAGTGGCTAGCGTGTACGGCTGCACACCCTGAGGTTCTGGGTTCGAGTCCCGGGTCGGGCCAAGTTTAGTTATTGAGTCTTTCTGTATAGTAAGCCTCAGTAACAGCCCGGAGTTGGGAAGTTGGCGGTGTTTCACCCCCGTGCCTTGAAAAGCACGTAAAGCCGTCGGTCCTGCGCCTTAACTCTCACTGGTCGTGTCAAGTGGTCGTCCCACCAGAGTATGAGAGTGACAGGAATAGAGAGTGGACGTTGTGTCTGCGCGTACACTTGTGCACTATAATATCTCCTGCGCAGTTGGCTAATCTCAATGAGATTGGCTGCCGTGGCCGGAATCGGCTAGAAGAATATCACCATAAAACACTCCTTTTTTCAAAATACTTTTTATCTTTACCTTGTTAAAGTAACTTAATGGCAGTACCTATAGCTGAAAATATTTTCGTCATTTTTAATATTAATGTAAAACTATAAAGTTAGCATTGAGTCCTGACGATATTTAGCTTAAAACGTTGCTTTGGACTGACGTAAAGCCTTAATAAAAGCAGGTACTATAGGTCCATTGTATGAAGCTGCCAAGTGGATTATCTCGGGATTCTCTAGAGGTATTGTGCCGCTGATTCTAACTCAGATTGCGAT